TGAAGTGGAGGCGACGCACTTTGGTGGTGGGACATCTTTGTACTGGCAGTCAAAGTTGTTCTCTCTGCAGAACTGGCACGGTCGAGCTTCGTCACACTTTTGCTTTCGCGAACGACAGTGGTTGCAAGCTTGCGTGGCTCGGACCTGCTTCCTTGGTATTTGCTGTGCCGCGCCACTGTTGCTATAATTGCTATAAGGCACGGATCGTTCGGCCGATCTTAGATTGGGTTGTTCATGAGTAGGCAGTGGCTGTAATCCATTTCCTGGGGCCGCTGAACGTATGTCATAATGATATCCATCCCCACATTCCGGTGGATGTGCTGTGTGATAGCCGTTCGTATAACCGACGCATTCTTGGATTGATCTTTGGTTGAGCCCATAGGGAAGGGGTAGGGATATTTTCTCTGGTGGAGCTGTTGAAACGTTTTCCGCACCTGAATAATTCTCCAATTCACCTTGCTCTGCAGAAAATGGTGGGAGAAATGAACGTTCCATATTGTATGGTGTATGTGTCCCCGAAGCAATAGTTGAGAGATGATGTATTTAGCAGTGAGCCTATGCGACTAATGCTGATACGGAGAGGGCAGTCAAAGTGATGCACAGAGACAGTTGGTAGTATATCGCAAAGTATAATTAATCGTCCGTCAGGGTGGGTGGGTCCTGAGATATTGCATGATGCAGCAACCCGTGCCTTTGTCGGATACAAGGAAGCGTTTCGATGCGGCACAGGAAGCGAGTGAGGTAAAGTGATGGCGTAATGTATTGAGCCAACACAAGAACTGAGCGATGTAATGTTAGGCGACCATCCCCCGCAACATTGAGCGAATAACAAAGCAAGAATTTCGGGTGGTCAGCGATTCCGGGCCAAGGGATGGCAGGGTCCTCGTTCGTGGAGCCTCTCAGACTGCGGATCCATGAAGAGGTTGTGTCGCTTGTGCCTGCGCTGCATCAATAAGAAAAGAAATACGCAGGAGCCGAGGTAGGGTTGTTTGTAGAGAGGGAGAGGCTTCCAGTGAGAGCGCACTGCATTAATGCAAAAGAAGATAGTGCAGCATAGTAAGCAGGTGTACAACTATATGCATTCAGCTAGTACCTGCTGTGAACCCTGTGGCACAATCGGTTGTAGAACGACGTGTCGCTTCATGCGAGATCTGTTTTAATGACGCATTCGCACCATCCAGATGGCTGGAATGGCTTTCTTTTTATCGAAGCACGACATCACAGCAGAGTGCATGTACTACAGTCGCCTCCTGCCTGCTCTGTGATGCGCCTGCAGGATGCTTTTGTGGGGGGCTGCTAGCTGGTCAACATGCAAGCGCCTACGCTACGGCACGGACAAATCTCAGTGGGACTAGGTGTGACAAGTGAGCTGACATGTGCATTGCCGCTTCAGCGGTTGGCGACGCCTATTGGATTAGCCAAACCCAGCGCTGCTCCTTCTGCGTCGCTGGCTTAGAAAGGGGCCGCACCTAGCGAATAGTCGCACCCCAATTTTCAGGACCCTGACCCCCTATGGCTTGCGATGCATCAAGCACGCTTCTCCCTTCACTGGCCTGCATCCTTGTATGTATGTACGTACCTCCTCCACTGATGGAACCCGTACCCACCTAATAGCCTAAGATGTGGTTGGCTGCGACTTGCCCTCATTGTCGCGACCTATCGTTATGGGCGGTCAGCGGTATGTAACTACTCCACTCCCTTGAATGCATACGCACACTTTCGTCGCTCATGGATCAGCCGCGCCACACGCCAATCGAACACATCTTGTTTAATCTCAGGGATGGATTTCTCACGTAGCTTGCTTTGCGTGCTAGCTAATATCTGTTCCATTTTCTGCTCTGGTATTGTCTTGAAATGATAATAACATTCATCCTGGGGAAGCGCATCCACTTCGCCCTTAGTTATCTTCTGCAGCTAGAGTCAGTCTAAAAAGCAGCAAAAGTACTCTCATGGAAATGCGCACATAGAACAAGTGCCACTGGAACTCGTCATAGTCGGAACGGGTCCGTGCCTCTTTGACCTTGGCATTCCTACCGATGGCAAAAGGGTCGCTCATAGCGCAAAATGTGACTTGAAGCTTGGTCGTCTGTTGAGGTGTTGGGGAATTGGGGCTTGGAGACTAGGATGAGTGTGCACGTGCCTGCTTCCTGTCTTGGCGCACACCATTTGTGTTTGGCGTGTCCGACGCCAAGCGGCGCCACTTGCGAACCAGGGCCTTGCAAATCCGTTACACGCCTCGCCCTGTTACAATGCGACCCGCTTTCCTTTCTTGAATAGATGCTGCTCTAGCTGTAAATATGAACCCAACGGTGTAAATGTTTGCCCTGAAAATTAGTGCATGCGAGAACGCCTGGTAGAAGCTAAACTACAACAACGCCCCAAGCGCAGGACTTTACTTCAACAAAAGCAAGTCTGTCTCGCCATTCCGGCAGGTAAATACCTGAAACGACTTGCCACCAGACCACCGCGCACGGGGTTTAGGCTGTTGCCGAATAGATTGCAAGCATGATCCCAGAACACTTTCAGGAGCGTGGAACAACAAATCACCTGCCATACCGCGAGCAGTACGAACATCGTAGAACGTTGGGCCCCCCACACACACGTAGGTCCAGTCTATGGCGCGCAGTTAAGCAGTTCCTTATACCTTGCGCTGACGCATAGGTCCTGGAGTATTCTCAATACATAGGGAAGCGTCGTTGGAGAACAAAACTGTGGCATCCTGGTCTTACCGTTCTGGGTATATGACAAAGTCCTGCTACCAGAGCCTCCATATACACATACTACACCATACAAGTAAAAAGGTGCTGCCGCCTCGCTATTGAGGAATCGGGCTAGCTTGAGCTGTGTTTTGGGGTCATTCGCAGATTGCTGCTTACTCAAGCATCATCTCTTAGTGTGAACGTTGACGCCAGGTAATGAGTTACAAGGGGCGTTTGCATAGCTATTTAGTTTGTATTTTCTTAGAGACTGTACTGGGTAATCTGCAAGCTATTCATAGAACGGAATATACCTGAAAGAAAGAGCTAACTAAATAGGCGTCTCTCATTACTTTAGATACTCCCTGGCACATGGGTATTAACGAAGCTACTGAATTATTCATCACCTCAACCACTTTGGCTTGGGACTATTTAGATACGTCAATGTATAATATCGTCATATACATAAAACACAGCAAAACGAGTGGCGACACTATTGATTAAGCCAAACAGACTAAAACAATCGTACGTTCGCAATTTGAAGGATTGGACTCATTATATCATTGCAGTGGTCGTGTAGTGTGAAGTAGGCTGTATCGCCATGTACCAGGTCCCATGCAAGAGAATAAAAACGTCAATTTAGGATTTCCCGCCTATCAACCTATTCCCATATGCTAGTTTTTTGTCAGTACGGTACATAATGCTGACGGATGACCGGAACGCTGCTTTCTTGCATCATAGCCTTGATGCTTTCATTATGGGGCTGGCTGTACGTCCATTCTTTATTGCCAAGACAAGGTCGTCCACCACTTCCAGTACCCATATGCAGCCTTCGTCACTGGTGAGCCACCTCACCCCTTCCTGCGAGCCAGCATTCGGATCGGATATCCAAGATCCGTCGTTCCACGTCTTCTTCAGAGCATGAACATGACCTGCTAGTTGTCGACTAAATGGCCGACTTGCCCGCAAACACGCAATAGCACAGAGACTTATCGTGATACGTCCGACTGTTACAGCGTAATCCCGTGATAGCAATCCACCGTAGACATGGTATCTGATATAGTTGCCAAGGTCTGGGTGAGCGTTTGCCAACCTACGCTCAATCTTGCCTCCATTCGGATGGTGAATAGCATTCCACAGCTTTTCACCCTGCTCTTTGATGGAATTGATATTATCGGAATTTGCAAAGGATGATGACCTTGTGTTGAGGGACGATATAACGGCTGAAGGTAGAGAAGCACGGAATTCATCGAGCATGTCCATGATTTGCGGAAGCTAGTCGCGATCAGCAGGGCCTTACCCATATCAGGCTTATCTGTACGTACGCTGACAACAGCTATACCTTTCAAGCCAATTTCCCGCATGAATTCCGCAATGACGATGCTGTCTTTCAGGTCCATGGATGCTGTTGCATGATGATAGAGCGCCGTCATCGACGCCTCGGAGCTCGCGCCAATCACTGTTGCGGTCATGAGAGCCAGCCATGAAGAATAACTCAGTCCTTTTCCTCTTGCTTCTTTTTCCCATTTATGGAACAGGCGTTGGATATGTGACGTATCTGCAACAGTTGGTACTAAGGAATGCGGCGGCTTCAGCATCGCTTGAAGATGCTGCAATGCTTCCGACATGGTGCTATGTTTCCAGGTGTAGCACTATCTGTGAGTATATCCAGTGAGATATAGTGACGTTGACGTTCTTAATTTATTCCCAATCACAGTACAGAGATTCATGTCAAGCCAACAACAGCATGTAATCACACTTGTTATAGTGGCAATCATCTATGTAAAAGCTAAATTCAAACCATCACGGCAATGCCTAATCCAGCGCTTGATAAAGGGTTCTAAATCCGTTTCTCTCGCCGCTGCATTTTCATTGTGTACTATGAGGCGAATTTCTTCCAAAAGGCCAACTATTGTATGGTGGTTCCAAAACATGAATTTCCCTAGATAAAAGTACAATCCCATGGACACCGGTCAGGCGGGACACATACCCACGTACAATAATAGCAAAGCCACACGCGTAAAGCGGAATCTGCAATTATACAAGTGTCTATCTTTCCAAGGTTACACTAAGTGAGATTTTCGAAGAACCCATAATTGTAAAGAACAAAGCAAAAAACATCAAGACGTTAACTTGCGTACAATAACGTGTTCATCTCTGTAGCTAGCGAGAGCATGAATGAAGCATGCACTTGCAATGCTTACAACGCTTACATGCTTATGCTGACATGACACCAGGTGTGCACTGAGTAGACTCTTTATTAATATCGCCATGACAGCCTCTAGGAGTCTACCACAGCGATCTTTGCTAGACAGAGAGGTCCATCCCACCGACATTCCTTCTTATTAAGACACACTCGTTTCATCGAAGCTGTTTGCAATTGAGCGACGCAGGCGTTCTCCACACGTTCTTTGATACACATTCTTTATCATGCGACATCGCGTACTCACGCTGATTCTCGGCGTCTTTGCACTTTACGCAGCCTCTTTACCTCAATCCAGAGACGACGACGAGTTTAAAGCCCTGTCTGGCCAGGTTCTCCGTGAAATAGCACCAAAAACAGAGTCTTGCGAAGATGCAGCATTCCCCGAAGAATGTGCAGATGCAACACGGGCAGCAAGGGCTATCAACAAGGCCTTCGAAACATATGGGATCTCTTCGCTGGGCGAAAGGGTTGGGTTAGTGGCTTACATGCTTTTCGAATCAGACGATTTCAAGTACAATAGAAATCACTATCCAGGCAGACCGGGACAGGGCACCCGAATGATGGCAATGCCCTCTTTCGTCAAATCCTATGCGGAAAGCGTCGCTGGCCCCGACGCTGTCGCCAAGGCCGAAGCCGCTGGAGGGGACGCAGGTCTCGATGCAGTACTACGTCTAGCCAACTGCAACGACGAGAAAAGTTTTGGGAGTGCGGCATGGTTTCTCAGCACGCAGTGCACCGGCTCCGTTCGAGACGGGCTGGCCACAAGAGGGAAAAGCGGATGGCACGATTTCTTAACCACATGTGTAAACACAACCGTAACAGCAGAACGTGATACACGATGGCTGGCTACAGCACAAGTCATGAACAGTGAGAAATAGAGGTAGACACCTGAAACATTTAATAGAAACAATCGCTCTTTCCTTTATGTAATACATACTATCTAGCGTTAACTATGCATTCCAATATTTTGTTAGTTGGGAACATGTTTTACGCAACTGACAAAGTCCCTCCGTGTGTGCGGGAACTAGTTAGTTAGTAACTAGTCAATAAGAATGCAAAGCTAGCAGTCATCCCCGCGCGATTTTGTATTTCATTGGCTCATTCCAGACCACCAGGTTTTCTGGCACATGGAGAAAGATGTCAGACCCCAATAGGTTTCGCTCACGATTTAGCACCAGTCATTAGTGTCATCAATAATTAGCTAACTAACTAATTACGTTATCTATCCGGGGGTACGAAAGTATTCATAGTGGGGCTGTGCAACGGATGGAGCTAAGCCTAATTAAGCAATCGATCTAGTTTTAATACATTCGGTAACGATCATAATGGTGCTGACTGACCCAGTCATCAGAATATCATCATCCTACTGCAAACTGTGTCGCAACAAGATAACTATCAAGCAGCTTACAAAGATCACGCCTACGTCCACGGCCTCGTTACCAACACAAGCAACTCGTGCAATTCTACAAGGCTTGCAGGCAGTCTGTGAAGGCACCAACCCAATTGTCGAGTATACCTTCTTGCTTCCTGGCCGCACATTCAACAACTGACATAAGCCTAGCATTGTCGCGGTCCACGACCTCAATAGGCATCGCGAGAAGACGGGGAACGGCGTGTACTGGCTGCGCGACCTGCTGCCGCACGACTTGCCGCGAGCGCGCATACTCAGCTGGGGCTACGATACAAACACACATAATAGGTCGCGAGTGAGGTGCGAGTACTTGTATGACCGACCATACGTGGACGCTGATGTCAGACCTGTGTCTGGAGAGACAGTTGACAGAGGCATGTAGTGGGCAGGGTGGTTACAAGACAAAACACCTAAGTCGCATCAACCGATCAAGTGGCAGATCATCTTCGTGGCGCACAACCTGGGCGGTATTATCGTCAACCGCGTGAGTGGGAGCAGGACTACTAAAACGTAGAGACAGCGGATCGATGAGTGCTGACTCTCATCCCCTCAAACACCGTCGGCCGAGGCGCCCTCAAAGAGCATCGCACTGCCAAGTTGTCGACGCACTGCATCCTGTTTATGCATATACTCCACTAAAGCGAAAGCGGAGCCGCACTGAACAAGCTCACTGCCAACATGGCGTCCGTGTTTGTCGCGGCAGACGACCGGCTGCTGCGCCGACCGTGCGAGGGCGGTCAAAGTTGGTTTGTCTAGATCAGATCGTTTACCCATGGCAGCTGCTAATAGCGCTACTAGGTCGTGCCTCGAGTGTCGGCTGTGGTGCCGAGCGCGGCAAACGGTGAGCAGATCGCGATACACGAGGACCACATCCACACGGTAAAGTTCGAGTCGAAATCAGATACTGGGTACAAGGCGGCCTACCGCCGCCTTCTCTGATGGTTGCACATGCAAGCGATACAATCAGCGGATGGTGGCACACAGAGGGCAAGGTAGGCGCGGATGTGAAGACTGTATTGACAGTCGTGTCAGCAAAGACAATAGCGCCAAGTAGTGATTAGCCCTCTACAGTCCGCTCCAGCGAGGTCGTGGCATCGTTCGCTGCCCAGTTCAGCGTGTCAGAGGTGAAGCGCATGGAGCGCTTCGTCGGTCAATAGGAGCAGCTCGACGCGATCGATCAAGAGCTCCAGCATGACAGCTCTCGCAAGACGACACACTGAAGCAACGCTATGCTGCTGCAGCAGACCGCATCTACCGCGAGCATCCGTTGTCGGTGTATCTGAGGGCCATGGCTGACGGCGGCAGTCTCGACGAGGCGGCAGAAGCGGTCAAACAGTGCTGGAAACAACCGGTGGCTAACCATTTTCGACAACTACGACGCGCCGAAGCTGCCAGAGCGAGATGAGCCAGTCACCTTCGACATCCGGCCAATTTTTTCCCGCAAGCACATCAGGAAGCGGGGGGGCTGATCACGACACTGTCGTTCCAGCTACAGCTATGACACCCTACAGCAATAAGGAAGCTGCAGGACATCAAACATAACCTGGAAATACTGTCACAGGCATCGAGGCGGGATGGAATGAGCACTGGTAAGTATTACTTGGTGGGACTTACTGTAGTTAACGCTGAAATAATAGCAAAGCCCTGACGCTCAGAGATTAGTTGACGAGCTAGATGGCCTACCGCTTGCTCTTGTCACGGTTGGTGTCTACCTGGACCAGGCATCGACGAGCTTTACCGACTATCTGCAGCTGTGTAAGGCATTGTGGCTTCGGCTGCAGCTGTCGTACGAAGACCGAGCGCTGTACTCTACATGGAACATCTCGCTGGAGCACGCCAAGTAGCAAAGCAAGCTGGCAACAAAGCTGCTGCAGCTGTGGGCATGCTTGAACGACCAAGAGGTGTGGTTGGAGCTTCTTCAGGCCGGTCGAAGCGGCATTCCTGTGTGGTTCTCAGAGTTGACAGAAGACCGACTGGACTTCAATGAACCAGTGAGAGTGTTTTGCGGCCATGTCGTGCTGCTTTGGCTGATGGTCCCGACACGTCTGCTACTCAGTCATCTGGAACTTCTTCTTCGGACGCGAAACTTTTATGTACTACAGAGAGACCATAGACGTAAAGTCGTTTCACAGATTTGCCATCAATTGACCTTGTGGGTCGTCGTTATCACTGTGATGCCTATCCAGTATTTAGGTAGCAGACGTCAGGTGATTGGTTTATTTGAGCTTACCTTTATCCAGCTAGCTCGATGCTCTAAGTTATGTCAGCACTGCTGACTGGTCCATCAGAAACGGAGGTACCAGACTGTGTGGCGATCACACCCAAATCAGTTCACAGACCAGTCCCTACAGCTGGTGAGCAGGCTTGGATGATTCTGTCGAATATCTAGATGTATATAGAAGTGATAAATGCGTTGCTATAGATAAAATTGATGGTGGTGGTCGTATAACTCGTGAAGCGCATTATTGAGATGAAGCAGGTGTCTTCGCACATCTGGAGAGAAGGTGTTTACACAATTGTAATTTAAAGTAGGCTTAAATTACTAATTATGATGTATGTGTAAAAAGCACAATAACTATTCGTTAGCCAAATTGAGAGTTCGACAACTTCCTGTCATCTATGTCATTCAAGTCCGAAGGCCACTGCAAGTTGCAGTCTAGTCTCACGCTTTGCCAAAGGTAATGCCCAAGCTGCGTATTTACTGCTTACTGCTCGTCTGCTGACATGCTGACGCTATGCTTGGTGGGTCAAGTGGGGCAGGAAGATTCCTACACACTGTGTGGTGCAAACGTTGTTGCAACTGCGTTCGAGGGAAAGGCGCAATCACCAAGGGCTGTATGTAGTGGGGTAGTATTTTCTGTAGTTTTTTGATGGCGAAGGGATTGCGGTTAAGCACCTCAGCCACTCGTTCGGAGCTTGCAACTTAGAGTCCCATAGCTTGTTGCAGTTATATCATTTTATTCACACCTTGCATCAAGTGCATCCTTGTCTAAGTACATGTATATTCCAGGCATTTTCCCTTTATGTTCCCTAGTTAGTCTACTTCACCGTATAGATAAAAGGAAGCAGAGGACGCTAGAAGACTGAAGTCGTAAGTAGGTAAGTAGGTATCATTTCGACACGAACAAATCCATATAAAAGCACACCGAGATTACAATATTCATGTGAAACTAATCGAATTAAGAGCATTATGCAGCATAGATACTTTTACCTACGAGGGTGTTACCGTGTTACATGTATGGAAGATAGAAACGATTACAATCGCTAAAATCTACTGCGCAAGATATATATCTCACCATTGCAGCACGTAGTCTAACCTATCCGCCGTAAATGCCAGTAAGAAGGCATGCAAATGGTAAGAAGAATCAGGTCTCGAGACTTGGTCTTTGCAGTATACCTGTACAGGTGACTCTAGTCTTTGGGCCCGCCGTTGCATGCTCTTTAGGACTGAAATACCTTCATCTAGCGAAGAAAATGTTGCAGCCGAGCTGTATAGTGCAGATGGATTAAGCTTCAAATTTTACTGTGCTGCTGACATTAGTAGATATGTTAGTTTTGCTTCTTTTCTACTACTACCATAGTACTTATCCTGATCAGGCGCACTGGATAGCTGATGGTCATGTTGAGCCATCCCTGAATATCTTTCATGGATGGCATAACATACCCACAGACGGTAGAGCTCAACTTTCCGTGGTGCATTGGGGTGCCAAACCAGAACCTAGACAAACACTTACCTTAGCTCTTATCTTCCCGGTACATGCCTTGTGCAACTTCTCTAATTGACTACCTACTAATCTCGCAACTAGCTTGTGAATACAAACTCCGCAACAATCATCAATCCATAAAGCTATGATCATGTACACCCAATCGACTTTGCTTGAAACTGCTGCCGCCTAGCGCTTAAGTACGCTACCTGACGTCTGTCCAGTGGAGACTGCCAAGCGGGTCTGGAGGCACGCGCTGTTGGCAATTTTGCGCAATCGCCTGTATATGGCCTTGTAGATAGATGCATGGGTAACAGAATCATCCGTTACCTCGTCGCAAACATTCAGAAGAAACGTGACGTCTCCCCAAGAGTAAATCTCAACGCCCTCATACTGAATACCATGCTTCAGATGTGTATCAGGGTGAAACATTCGACCGTTCTTGTCAGCAGCAACAGTGAATAGCCGAAGGATTGGATAACCCTCGGCCGTAAGAGCAAATTTGGGTTCCTCGCTCTTGGGGTCGCACAGCAGCCCGCACAAAACCATGTGAGGCATCTCTTGATCACCGAACACAACCATTGGCAACTCAGAATTGGCGCTCATGAATTCCTTTACTCCCTCGGTAGGCATAGTCCAACATGAATCGCCAGTGTAAGGGAAAGGTGGGCGAGATGCCGGATGAAACATAAACAGCCCAACTCGTATGGTGAACTGGGGCACATCGAATGTGTGAACAAGACGGAAATATTCGAATGGAAAGCCTTCGGGGCCGGCGACCCTGCAACGATAGCCAGTGACCTGGAATTGGGGCGGTTCGTCAATGAGTGCTGTATCCTGAATAATCAACATTTTAGTAAGAGCGTGCGCAGAAGAGAATAGAAATGCGCTACTGACCTCGGGTAGCTCGTGGCTAGGTACGTAGCGATGAATGAGATCTTCCAGTTTCATCGTGAGAAATTCTTGGAGTTGTTTCTGTTGTAATTGGTGCCGTTACTGGAGCACAGTGAGATTGGGTGGGTTAGTGGATAGAGAAGGGACGGGCGCAGAGGTGGGCTGCTAGGCAAACGCTGCTTTCTCAGCGACTTAACGACGCGTGCGCGCGCAAACGGAGCAAGCTGGTGAGATGGCTAGTATGAAATGATTGGTTGATCAGCCTCAGAAGATGCTGATATATAATGCACGGTCTCGAGAAAAAGACTTGGAACAGGCGTATGAGCAGACGATAGAAAAAATAGCAGCAGACTTGAATCAACGCTGTGAGATCGTACAAGTGCGTGATAGGCTCTCGCAGGACTAAATAGATGAAGAATCCGTCTTCACTTCGAAAAAGAAAGCGTATTTATACCTCCAATGTCCACGACCACTTTCACTCAATGCCCATCCAGCCGACGTTGTCACAAGGTCAGCTGTGGTTCATCGACCTGAGCAGCGGCGCGTAAGCGCTCGTAGATGTTCCTATACACATGCACATCGGAAAGTGTTTCGCTATTCAGCTTCTTATAGAGCTCAGAATCAAAGTTATCATGTCCCAAGAGTTGAGCTCAAGAATCTCATACTGGAAATCGTTGTCGAAACATATAGCTTGGCCAAACACCCAAGTATAGTTGCATGCGCCAACAGTGTACAGCCATGCACATTGAAGGCGCCCTACGAGTACATAATTGATCTCAATTATGCCATACACAGGTAGGTATGCAACCTAGTACAAGGCCTCCTTTCTACCAACATTCCTTGAATGCTCCGACAGCAGAGATCAGCTAACGCTCCAAGTGGCATTCCTCCTACCCAAGTCCACTGCTTGGGGGTCAAATTTACCAGCAAAATCTTTGCGAATGCAGTAAGGGCGGTTCCTAGAGTCCCTCACCATTTCGAGTACATTGTGGCCCTCCGTATCTTCGCCACGCTTGGTACCCACCAGCGTCACCCAGCTCTTATCACTCTCAAGCAGGTCCTTTCACTATCTGGCCGCCTTATTATCAAAATTCCAGTACATTTCACGAATGTATCGCCTTCTCTTAACAAATCCGCCCACCCAGTGCAGTTTCGCACATCTCCACATACATAGGCTGCAGGCGCAACCATTTCCCCTAGTCTCAAGAGAATTAGCCTTCCAATTCCCGTTCCTCAGGAAGCCATCCACATAATTCTTAAGCAATTCTTTGCTTCTAGTTTATAGAGCGGTGTCCAAAGGGTGAATGCGTAGGCCATACCATAGCTCGTAGAGGGCCGCCTACGCAATGTTACTAAAGTCGCCATAAGTAACGAATACTTACTTAGCCCCATGATAATCTGTTCTTTGATCTCCCCTCGCATATCTAATACTTCACCTTACATCACTCGAAGCTGCTTCTAGGTTACGGATGGGTTAAGTAGTGTAGAAAGGCCGTATACTGTGCCCTCGTTGATGTGTATACGACGAGTACACGGTATAAACAAGCACACCACCTCAAGAAGTTCGGCGGGCAGCCACTTCTAAGCAATTTTCGCGAACCAGCGAGCTTATATTAGGATATAGCGCGCACAAATGAGATATGGACCAGTAAGGTGTAAACCGTGGTGCAGAGAAGATAGTATGTATCTAGAGCAACTTCCATAGCGCGAGACAGCGAGGATCATCCAAGACCACAAAGGAATGTATCATGATGTCCAATACAGAAGGCAGTGGCAGTCAATGCCTAGTGGAATGCTGCTAACATAGCTTGCTGCCATCAGCGTTTTATTTTGTATGCTTCATCATCCATTTGTCGATTCAATGCGACGAGCTGGGCTTGGGGGTCGGCGGCGAGTGTGGCTTCGAGCCAGTCTGGTTCTTGCGGCAACTGTGTAGGTAGAGCGGCTGGGTACGAGGGCCAGCCGTAAGAACGATTGGGCCGCGCCATGGCTGGTTCGAGAAAATACAGTGTAACAGTCGGCGTGGTAGGTTGGTAGGTGCAGCTATTGACCATCCATGGCGGCATAATACCCGTAGAAAGAAATACAGATCTAGGGGCCAGAGGTCAAAAAGATAGCTGCGCACAGATGTTAAAATATTGCTGCCTAGAAAATGCGGGGTAAAAGTGAAAGTGAGTATATCTGCCTGTAAACATATCCATCTGCAGCTTATTGGGCAGCCGACTATAGCTTTTAGGACGTACTGTATCCTAAATTTGTATCAAAGAAGAAGTGTATGTGTGTGTGTGTGTGTGAGTGAGAGAGAGGAAAAAAACAGCGAATAGACAAGAGAAATGTATTCTTGAACGCAATTAACCACAGTAGAGGTATAAAAATAACCGCTATGCAGTCGGTGTCTGAGGGCGAGTATTCCAGACTGGCAGCTCCGTTCTCACTGGCCTCCAAGCATATGGAGCATGTCACAACCCAAATTTGTCTGCAAGGAACTTGGACTCTAGGATCTATTGACAAAGTATGCGTTAGATGGTTTTCCAGACCAATTGTATTTACTAGAGCTCTTGGAACAATAAATCGGGGTATAAATCGCTCGATTAGGGCATATAACTCTACCGCTACTAAACCTCCTTCAGAGCGGATCAGGCCTGCTTCTTCGCCTCGTATAAACCAGGCGCATATGCGCCAACCCTATTGAATCTACTCGTAGCTGGCACAAACATTCATAACCAATCAGTCGAAGTGTTGAGACACTGTACCCAAGACTACAAGCCCATAATCTCGCCGCGGCGCAGCTCGGCGTAGATCCTGCGATATACACCAGCAATCCCCTCTACACCTCGCGTATTACGAAACTCATCAAAGAAGTGGACAATGTTCCACGCTAGAATATGGATGGCTTGAAACCACTCGCCATCCACAGAGTATCCCCTCGAAGAGAGCATGACACCAGAAGCATTGGCTGTTACGGTGAAGAGTTGTATAAGGGCATCACCGTTATAAGTGATAGGGTATCGTCCGCATGCCCTGGGCGAAAAGCGAGCAAGTACCAGCTGTGGTATCTCAATGGATTGGTTGTCTCTGTTGCGGGCTACTAGCGCAGGTCCATTCTGGGTAATACCACAGTGACAGAAGGGTCGAACCGCTAGTAGCTCTGAGTCGGTCATGTGGAAGGGCGGGCGGGTCGCTTGGTTAAAGTAGATTATACCCACTGGAATCACGTAATTTCGGAAGTCGTCTTGTTGTATCCGTAATGCATTGCCAATCCGATGCGTACGAGCACGCTGGAGACGGTAGCGGTATTCGATTTGTGGCCCTCGCCATGCGGAGAGCTGCAAAGGCTCCTCGGGTAATTCATCAACCTAGGAGAGAGCTAGTTAGAAACACTCGCACTGAATAGCAAAATGTAATGGGTGGTACTGGTGGTAGATCTTCGGCTGTGACACAGCGCGAAACCAAGGTTTCCTGTTCATCCTTGCACAAGGAGTGTAGCGTGAGGGCCGGCATTGTGCACAAGTAGGACGAGATCAGTAAAAGAGGATAACTTGTATGAATTCTGAAGTTCTGAAGGTTTAAACAAGTAAGAAAGCAACGGAGGAGGGGTAAAGACAGCGCACAAAGAGTAGCGTGGGAGTGAAAGGCCACCTTTGCCTCCTTCGACTTCATTTCATCATTCACCGCTGGCTGTCCGAGCTGGCGAAATCACATCCACACCGTCTACTTGCACAGGATAAATGAGGACATCCATCATGTGGCGCAATTCTGGGATAGGATGATCTTGCATTTACCCTAATGCATTAGACAACTATGCAAGTACTATATCCCCAGGAGCTACTACAAATCCACACAGGAATGGCGTACCTGGTGATTACACAAAGTATGATCAACCAAGAGGCTGTTAATATACAGTGTCTAGACTCGCTAATATCCATTCCTCTCACTTTGGTGCCAATAGCTCGTTGTAGGTAGAACTATGCACTGCCATGCAAATTTCGTATAGAAACTGTACGAAATATGAGCTTACTCCTGTTTATGATATGAACCTCGTCGTATTCTTTTATGATTTCCACATGTGTGGCATGAGATATGTTTTTGTCATAATCTACTGCGGCAGTGAATTGAACATCGGTTTGGTCACTGGATAAGCCAAGGATGATATGGGAGGTCGTTGACTTTAAGCCACTGAACATGGCCAAAGCCAACGTTTTGAGGGTTGGTTGGGCGTAATCGGAACGAAAAGCAGATGATGATCGTGCAACGGCATGATGTCGAGAAGGGAATCATTTCGGCTAGGTAACTCAAGGAGATAAGTCCTCCGGCCGGCGCACTAGAGCAACCTTGACATGGCGAGCGAGGTTGGAATGGAATCATAAAAATAGACGCGTCCGTAGTGGAGGGAGCAGTTTGGTTGAAGATGTGGAATTCTATTCGTGATAATAAGTCCTCCGTAGTACGGCAGAGGGAGTTGGTAGGCACATGACCAATATATTTACACACCAATTTTTTTCGCGTCAACTCCATGAGTATTTCCACAAATGACAGTGAGGTGAAAGTAATGAAGCTCTGGATAAAGAAAATACGAAGCGCTAACAACTATAGGAACGCAGATCCATCACAAGGGATATCAGTGTTACAACAAAATAGCGATGGTATTTCTTTGGAGTCTACAAAGTGAATAGAAGCATGGCAGTGTAGTGCTGTAGTGAAGAGTCGTTCAGAGCAGGTAGCTGTAATATAGTAGACTGAGCAAGAAACATCCAAAAGTACGTAGCGCATATCACTCTTGATATGGACTTCTCTTTTCAGAATATACCTCAAGCTGGCGGTAGCTTACTCTGACGGCTCACCGCATCCGCCAAAAAAGATCAGTCCTCAAAAGCTCCGCAAACGCAGGCCGGCTCGCGAGTACTTACGTATGTATTCCAGCATTGACAATGCTCATCTGATGGACAAGAAAAACTGTCATGGAATTCATGCAGAAGAAGCTCCCCGTATTTGACAACGTAATTGCTATCCTGGAGCGAGTCGATGCCCTTCCGATGCCGTACTTCTACTTGCTCTTACTCTAGCAGCTCCTTTGAAGCACTCAACACGCGAACGCATCCGCACAAGTGAGAATAAAAGAGAATGAATGCTAAATTATAATATTAGGAAGCGCCAATGTTGAGCACTGCGACGTGGGCGAGCAGAACCCTGCTATCACTGTGTCGCGTACACAATACGAGATGGCCGAGAAGCCTTCTACAATTACTTACATTGACAAGCAGTCGTATTCGCAGGTGAATGCACCAGGTAAGCAGCGTAGGTTTCTCAGATGGGCTCTGCTTAAAATTAGGTGATGGATCTTAAGTGATACGATGCTCGACGGACCAGGCTTTGCAGCCCTTTCCTTCCATTCACGTGCTGCACATATCCAAAGGAAGGTAAAGTCGGTAAAGGACATTAGCATTCTTGTAGAAACCCGGTATGTATATCAGGAGTTTGCCGTTTTCTTTCTTTCTCTCTTTCTCTCTTTCTTACTTATATTGCATTTACATTGACAAGTTCTCTAGTTACAATAAGAAGGCCAACTCCACTTCCTCTCTGCCTTATAGAGTGCAATGCATGACGACTCCGACAAGAGATAAACAGTACAATGCGTCTTCGCAAGCCCCGCACATGCCATGCTTTGTGATGGTCACATCTCCGTTTGTGTTATATCATAAATGTAATCATGAGGAGATCCGCTTAAGCAATGAATATCGCCAGTCGTGCGAATGAGCACTGAAAGCACTGCCACAAGTAGAGGCAATGGTTGTGGCAAGCCTCCACAAATTCAGGTTACTAGACAAGCAGCTAACAAGGTTCTAGAGAAAGATCTCAGCATACCGACATGGCTCGCACAAACATGCACTTCGGTGTCGCCTGTCACCGCTGTCCATTGATACATCACCCCGCCAGTCGCGAAATTTGCTGCATGGAAAACCCAGCTAGCCTTTTTGCGGTGGTGCAAACGCAATATAGCGCCTTTTTCTAAAGTTTTGTGCAAACCTCGGCACTTGCAGCAAACGACGAGAGGCGAGCATTGTCAGCCCTCATTCACCCTGCTCATGATGTGATCACAACAATGCTATTAGCCAAGGTGACTGGGGAATGACGCACGCTATGCTCCCTCCTCATGTTCACCTCTCCGAGGTTATCCTAGGTATTGCCGCAACTTCAGCAAATCACAACAGCAGCAGCGACAACAACAACAACAACGGCGGCAGTGGCAACACCTGAAATACCTTGTTTTCCTCTGCAGCAATGTCACAAACTAAGCCCCGGGCAACTCCTTTCTCCAAACTTAGCGCTGACCACGTATTGGAGATATGCAAGCATCTTTCTAACACTGACATGTACTCTCTTACGCTGACAAGCCGCCACACTATGACCGCACTTCGACGATTGTACAAGGACGTCGAGCTCCTATCGCCCGATTCGGCAAAGGGCTTCAGTCTGCTCGAGAGTATGGCTGACCCTCAGACACCTTACCGTTCCCTTGCCCTTACAAGCCTGCGAATCGATGGAACTAGTTCCAAGGACTGGCATTATTTGCCCAGAGGTCGCAAGGGCAGTAGCATTGTAGATGCCATACTAGAACAATGCCTACCAGAACAACCACCACCAAACGCCCATCAAGACGTGCGGGATACGGTTGAGGAAGCTTACAGCGTGTGCCGCGCCAGCCTTTATGCCTCCACCTGTATCGGCCCTGCTTCGATTGCACTCGCAATCACCCTGGCGAAGAACATCAAGTCTATCGAGTGGATGATGATCGGTACTGGCCTCACATGCACGCCGTTGAAGCTCATAAAGCTCGTTATATCTGCGAAAGTCGCCTGCAGTCTCCCAGTATTCCCTACGCTTTGCCATTTGGAATGGCGCCTCGACAATACCGACGCATGTGTGCCAATAGTACCAAGCCTGAAACGCCTCATCATACACGGCTCGATGGGTCAGAACGTGTCTTTTGACCTCACAGCCATGGTCAACGACACCAAAAGCCAGCTCATGGAGGTGATAATGTTGGGTATGGATATGACAGTACCACTCACGGAGCTCTCAAACTTGGGCCACCTGCACCATCTCCGTAGCCTTCGAATGCGCGATTTCTCACGGGATAACCAGCAGAACTATCATGAACTCTTCAAGCTTCTTAATCAGAATTCTCCACAGCTTGAAACAGTCGACTTAGACTTTGAGTACACGGACTTCGGTGACAGAACCCAGGAGACTGTTCCCAAGTCCCTACAGCCCCAACTGGACCTACTTACCAACCTCAAACACGCCAAAGTTCACAGCCAGCTCCTGTGGTCGAGCCCATTTGACATGAACTTGTCAGAGATGTACGACGCACTTCCACCAAACTTGGAGTACCTGGTGTTAGTAGGCTTGGACCTTGGTGCCATCCTTCAGCTTGACGAGGACGAAAACGACGAAGAGATGAACGACGAGAACGACGAAGAGATGGAGTACGAGACGACGGATACTAACGGGGATATTGTTGTCGCTGACGAGGTGGACAATGAAATTCTAGAGCGAAGCGACCCCGACCCGTTTTCCATACGCCATTTACGGACGGTCCTGCCATACCTGACGCGTGTTGGGTTCAGGTTCGATTTCAACGTGACCACTATATCCGATCTCGATCAAGAGCTGCAACTTGCCGATCGGGCTTTGAGGTCGTTGGTGGCGAGTGCTAAGGCACTGGGTATAACACTGGGCATCTATGTGTGTTGCATGGAAAGTGACAGCTG